ATAAAAAATAATATTAAACAAATAAATATGTATCAATTAATTAATACATTTTTGTTATTTTGCAACTCTTTGCTCTTGTAGCCAATTTATTATTATTATTATTAACTCAACCTTAGGAATTTATGGAAGCATATTGCTATTTAACTATTTTTATCATAAAATATAATTTATATGCAATAACAATAACTCGATAAGGATGAATCATGAATGGTGTTTCTAAAGAATTGGCTATCTCTTACTCGGTGGATGAAATAAAAAAAATCAAAGTTGGTAATCTCCCTAAGTCAGGCTATGTCGACCTAAATGACTTGGGTGATCTCATCTCCTAATTAAAAGGATTAAAAAGTGTTGTGTTCTAGTCATAAAACATAAAGAAACAAAGGTGAAGTGAAGGAAAATGTTGCTTCCCAGGTCACCATGGCAGGCTGCCAGCCCAAAATAAAAGGGGAAAAAAAAAAAACTTCCAAAATCAATCCCATTTAAATGCAAAAGAATAAGCTAATAAAGATTAAAAAACTCCGCAACCTAACTAGCTACGTGCAGAAGCCAACCCCTACCAAAGTCGGTTACTTGCTTTCCATTATCATGCATCCCCACCCTTTAGCAATATAACAAAACAAAAGAAAAAGGAGTTATGATTAATTTAATTAACACCTTGTTTGGTAGTAGTAGTAGTAGTTGATACTCCAATATCGATCTCTATCATAATTCCAAAGATAATTTGCCATAATTCAAGGGGGGGGAAATAAATCATTAAAGAAAAACTCCAAAATATGCTTCTAACAATTAGTGGTGGGCAAATGGATAGGAATCAAAACTGAAAGCAGAATGGGTGTTCACTTTTTTGTGTTATACATCTGAAATGGCAGAAATTGAGAGAATGAAAGTGGGGACTATAAGTAGACTTTTTGATGGAGTCAATTATGAGTATCTAACAAAATTTCCTTTGTTAAAAGCTAAAAAGAAAAAAAAAAATGAAAACAACAAAAAAGGAAGGCCATCATGGTTCATTATCCCCTGCAATTAGAAAAGCTTTTGGATAATGAATCATTCAGGATAACCTGGGAAGTCTCCGAAACAAACTTAAAATATTGTATAATCCGAAATTCTAATTTTCGAATTTTAAAACAAAAACCCAATGGATTGTAATTTTGATTGTTAAGAGACTTTGCTTTGCACTCTGTTTATTAAAATTCCATTCTCAGGACAAATCTTCATTCATTTCCTTTTCCTTTCCTTAATCCAAACACCCTGCTAGGGTAATAAATTGAGGAATTTTTTTTTATTAGATTAATGTTATTTAAAAGAAAAAAAAATCCGTAATGGGCCTGACCTGGTGTCAGTTTAGGCCCATGAAGAGAGAACTATTTAATAGTAAAAGCCCAATTTCTCTTTGAGCTATTGGGCTGGATAACGGCCCAGATACACTGGAGGATATTATTTTCGTCTTCCACTATCCAAATTTCCCAAATATCTTCTGCTGCAGTCTCCTCAACAGCAACTCTGAAGAGTGAAGATCAAATGAAGCAATGAATTCCCTCTGCAATTCATTTGATTGTTTCTCTCTAAAACCCTATACTATACATAAACCCGACCTTCATTTCTCTCATTCTTCCTTTCTCAATTTTTTCCCTGTAAACCTTAAACACAAATTTGCTTTCGTCCCTAAACCCACAACATGCCGATGCCAACTCACCATCAAATCCTGCGCCGCCTCCTCAAGTCACTCCGCCGCCGCTGTAGAAATCGACATGGTTAGGAACAGGCAAGGCATCTACACTCCCAAGCAGAAAAAGGTTGTTGTTTTATGGGACCTCGACAACAAACCCCCTCGTGGCCCACCGTACCAGGCGGCCATGGCGTTGAAACAGGTTGCCGGGAAATTTGGGGAAATCGTTGATATGTCAGCGTTTGCCAACCGCCATGCGTTTATTCATCTGCCCCAGTGGGTTGTGGAAGAGCGGCGGGAAAGGAAGAACATTGACATCCTTGAACGGAAGGGAATCGTTACCCCCTCCGAGCCTTATGTTTGTGGTGTCTGCGGGCGCAAGTGCAAGACCAACTTGGACTTGAAGAAGCACTTCAGGCAATTACATGAACGTGAGCGACAAAAGAAGATGAACAGAATGAAATCTTTGAAGGGTAAAAAGCGGCAGCGTTATAAGGAGAAGTATATAAGTGGGAATCACAAGTACAATGAGGCGGCCAGGAACTTGGTTACACCGAAGGTGGGATATGGGTTGGCGAGTGAGCTGAGGAGGGCTGGGGTTTATGTGAAGACAGTGGAGGACAAGCCTCAGGCAGCAGATTGGGCGTTGAAGAGGCAAATGCAGCATTCTATGAGCAGAGGTATTGATTGGTTGTTCTTGGTATCGGATGATAAGGATTTTGTGGAGATGTTGAGGAGGGCAAGGGAAGCAAATTTGGGGACGGTGGTAGTTGGTGATCGAGACAGGGCATTAGGGAGGCATGCAGATTTGTGGGTGCCGTGGATTGGGGTGGAAAATGGGGATATCACCGAGAAAGATTTGGTGCCCCGGAAGAGGGAGGATGATGGATGGTTTTCAGTTTCAGGTTTTGATGGGGAGGTGGATGGGGTTGAGGATGTGAATTTTGTATTGGATGAGCTTGTAGTGGGAAGGACTAAATTTGGTGGTATGAGGATTTCAGTGTTTTCAGAAGGGGAGGAAGATGAAGAAGAGTGGGGAGCAGAGGATTTTGACGAAGATTTCTTTTTGGAGGATAATGAGGATGATGGGTATTTCTGATAGAGTAGCAGCAAATGTTGATACTGTTTGAATGTTGGTGGGCATTTGGTTCTTGTCAAAGGAGCATACTTGTGAATGATTATTCAGGTCTGCAGGTATATAGTTTCAAATGCCTGATTCTTCATGAAACGATGGAACAAGATATCTATCTGATTGTTTAAGTCTGCCTACAATGTCAGAAGGATTCAATTTACTCTCACAATGTGAACGGATGCTCCTCGTCTGCAAAAGTATAATAAATGGTATAATACATGTCCATAAGATATACATGCATTTTTATGCAGGGTAGTTGTTTTGTATGCTTTTAGCAATCACTGATTATGACTTAGGCTTTCCTATATTTAACATATTAACTACTAGAATTTGTGCTGAGTTATTATGTCCCAAGCCTGTATAATCCTGTTTTTTGTTATATAAGAATGATTTTAGCAACCCCTGCTTTTTGTTGTTTAAATTATTTTATCATGGCAAATTCTGGCTTTTGGTTTCTCAATCATGTTCCATCATGTCCTGTAGAACCTCTGACTTCGTATAGGTTAGAGCTCAAACCCTGGCTGCAATCATGAACTCTTCAAAATCTTCCTTACTGTTATTTTAGTAACTTTTTTTTTTCTTTAAGAATCTCTATCTCTTATTTTTCTTCTGTATTTTCAAGATTAGATTATCAATTGTGCACTTGTTCTTAGCACTGCTAGCATGTTTTTCTAATGTTTGTGCTTCGATAGCATTGTGGGGCTCTTCTTATCTGATTTTAATTAATGCTACTCGCTAAGGTTTGGCAATACTCTGGCAGATGTTTTAATGATTGAAGGTGACAATGTTTTCTTCTTGGCATGTTCATCCTACTACATTTTTCATGGTCAGCCTGCAATCTTGTTGGTTGCAAGTAGTAACTTGGATAAATAGTTAAGAGACATTGAATGTGCTTCAAGAACTGTTACTTGTTGTTTTAGGTCAGCTGAATTGATTGCATTCTGTGTAAAATTTTAGACCATAACCTCAGTTTTTTTTTGACTTTTCGACTCAGACTTTATGAAGTGGGAAATAGAGGGCAATATAAAGGTAAAGGGGTCAAGGGAGTATTTAATGTTAGGTAAACAGGAAGATTGAGATGCATAATTTACCTGCCCAAGTATAATGGCAATTGCCTGATGTTTGAAAAGCATTTTGTTGGTATCGAGCCTGGATTCGTCGGTCGACCCCCTTAATTCTTCATTTTGTTTTCTTTCACAAGATAATTGCCATCTGTTGTTGCTCTTACTTATCATCAACTACTTGCAAGAATTCATGGCCCCAATCCCACAGGGGTTGTTTTCATTTTTCAGCCTTGGTGGAGACACCCATGACCTTATAGCCTTCTGAATTTGATTGATGATATTGATGCTCAGAAATAAGATAAAACATCATCCTGTTCATGACAATTAACTGTACAGTACTACTGAAGTTCCTTAATATCTGGTCAAGCCCCTGTCAATTCCGCATGATACCAAATGGCAAAAATCATCATCAAATGATAAACTCCACTAGTGGCCTCTGTTTCTCCAGGAAGATTAGATCCTTAGACGGTTAGACCTCTCGTTTTTTTTTTTTTGGGAAAATAGGTTAGATCTCTGTTTTGTACACCACTTGCGTAGTAAAATTTTGGAAATTTTGAATGTATGTGCCAAGACTGCTCCACTTGACAAACGTATTAGCACACTAACACATTTCTTTCCGCAACTGTCAACTCAAGACCTAAATTTTTTTAAGGGACCGATGCATGGAACAAAAATTTAAGATTGGTGATATGATATGTATTATATTATTAAATAAATTAATATAAATTATTATAAATTATAATAAAATAAAAAATTAATTATTAAATAATATAAAATTTATTTTAAATATTTTAACTAATATATTTATACCATATAATTGATTTTAAATTTTGATTTTAAAATTTTGTCTTATATATCATGTTTTTTTTAAGAGATAAAACCTAACTAACACCCGTTGACGGCCAATATTTTTTCCTTTAAATTATATATTGAGAGCCAACAATGTAAATTATTTGCGGCGCCAATAAAGATGAAATTTCAAGCCTATTTAATTTATGAAGAGGTGGGAAAAAAAGGGTAAAATTTCTATTTAAATAACAAAAATTGAAGGGAATAAAACAAGATGAATTTTTTTTTATAATTTTAACATAATTAAACGAGAATTTTAAAAAAAAAAATCATTGTCTTTCATAATTAATTTTCATTTTCTTTCAAATCAAATAAAAATTTAGTGAAAACGACCTTGTAATATAATAATTACTAATTTATTGTAAAAACCTCTCATACTACCTTGAAATGTAGGATTTGAGTCT